GTTACGCAGACGTCCCTTTTCCGCGTGCAACAAAGGAGATAGGAGACGTCTGCACGCAGGCAATAGAATTCTTGGACCAACACGTTTCGGAAAAGCTCTAAATTTGATCTTTCCTAAGTTTTCTTCGCAAAACATGCGTGGCTTCGGTCACTCAAGGATTCTTATTCCCAGTTTCCACGGTCTTCGCTATCAAAAATAAGAAGAAAAACGGATTGCAGATTATGAGTCTTGCTGCTTACGTAAGCGAAATCAAATAAAAGAAAAGAGTTAGATTAGACCCAAGGGGATGGCCCATAAAAGATTTGCAATATTTCCACTAAATATCTTCTACCAAATTTGATGTCTACCGTGTTCGAGGGGTATCACTTATAAAATTCACTTATTTTGATTGTCTTATTTTCTTTGATTTGATATTTTGTCTGTTTTAGTGTTTCCTTTTGATTATTCAGCTAAACTTTGATTTCCAAAATTTATCGCGCTTGATTTCTCAAATGGCGTTTTTTATTTTCAAAATGAGACAGATGTGGATCTTACCCACGTGACAGTTTCAGTGGTCAGCATCACTCAAGGCCAGGCCACTAAGACATAAATCATGACCGAACGAGACAGAGAGGGTGTTTTAATTGCTGAAATTCAAATTTAATTTTTTGCGATTTTATGTTTGTTATTTTTGTCTTAACTCTTCATGCGTTCATCCTCGCAACCCCTTAATTCCTCACCCCGCCTTCCCTCGTTCTTTTAGATGCGCAAAAGCGAAAACCGAAAATACTAAACGGTCTACCAAAATACAGAAAAATACTCGAACTTGGATAACTCGAATTCCCCGCTAACTCGAACTAAATTTCCTTTCCCTTGATCAAAATTTCACTGAAATTGACCCCGATGATTCGAACTTCCCGCTAACTCGAACTGTTTTTCGTTTCTCATCAGAGTTTAAGTAATGTTGCCGGGATTCTACCGTACCAAAAAGAGCTTTTTCAGTGTGTAATCATTGCAGTAATTTATTGGTTGCTTTCTTTGACATCTTTGCAACTGTTTATGTAACTGTGATATGTAACTAAAATCTATCTTCATGTTATATAAGAGACAATTATTGTTATGATTATTATCATTATTGTTATTAGTATTAGCTTTTTTAAGCTTATAACCTCCTTCTCTTGTCTTGACCTGAAAAAAAAGAAAATGACACATTTAACTACGATCTGCCGTGGTGTTATCATGGAGAAAATATCAAATCTTTGAAAAGACACAGACATGCATAGTTGACTCATAATTTAAGACGTTTGTGCCCGTTATTAATCTATCGTAATTCAGTTATGTCTTCTTTTTAATTTATTTGTTTTTTCTAAACCAAAGCAGAAATAACTGAAGGCACAATGCAAACATATAAAAAATGTTTGGCGCTAAAATGCTCAAAGCCTAAACTTCACCCAGTTCATCGCGTTTGAATTGAAGAACATGTTGCCGGTGGAAGCAAACTCGTCTGCTAAGTGCATTATAGATGTACTCTCTTACCCCTATTTTCGTTACTATTTTAAAGATAATGGTCCAAATCGCCTCCATTTTCTTTGTAAAATACTTTTACCTCTTATGCGGCCGCAACTGAACAACCAACGGGGCCAAGTATATTTGGCCGAGGTTATACGTATTGGGTTTCCTGTGGAAGTTTACCGACTTACAGACTTACGGACTTACTCTTAACACCAAGATATTACGCCTTTCCGAAAGGAAGGCAGTAGCCACAAAAACCGAGCAACGTTCAGACATTCTTAGGTGATTTGGTTGGCAAAATGTTCAGAAGAAACATGAAATAACTTGCGGTTTTCCCTAGCAACAATTACCATTCAATGTCCAGCCACAAAATTTAACTGCGAATGCGCACGGCCTTACTGACTTTACTATCCAAGTAATGGACAGTTAATTCATTCTGGGACGGCAAAGATGACAAAGGTGTCACACGCTTCTCACTGCCGTCTGGTATGTTGTCTGGTATGCCATAAGGAAAACTAGGGGCAAGAAAGTATCCAAAAAATATCAGGAATCAGAGAAATTGCAGGAAGTTGTCAGAGAAAAACTTTTATTTTTCTTCACTTTCTGACTGGCAATATTAGCTTGCAATAGGTTGATGCTATGTTTTTGGCAAGTGAACAAAACTTAATACTTACTCATAGTCTTATTTAAAATTGATTCTCCCCAGTGCGCAAGTTTTCTTAACAATCTCGTCGACCTTGGTGACAAGTTCGTCAGTTTTGCTCACATGGACGACGTTGTCTAGTTTTCCCATGGCGATCTGAGTCAGCTCGTTATTATCCACGGACTGGCCAACTCCAATGGCAATGATCTTCACTCCCTGGTCCTGTTTGGGAGAGATCGAGATACTCGTTTATATTTTGACACACTAAAAACCAAGACGGTTTGTTCAACACTATTTTGTCTGTTTTCCACATATCTCAAGCTGACGATGGCCGCTATCTGAGATTTACTCAACGAAGTGTTCCTAATAGTTGATGTATTGCCTAATAAAAAAAACCCTTTAAAAAAGGAAACTCATTTTTTATCAGATTGCCCAAACTAGACAAACTCTTCTTCTTTAAGAGATATGTTCTTTACTAAAACAGAACCTAACATACCATTTCTAGGACTGTTTTCAAAATTAACAACCATTGGACGAAGTTGAGCAAAATTTCGAGATTTGTGAGAAGCGAGCAGAACAAAAAAAAAATTCGGCTTCGGGAAATACCGTATTTATAGATTAAATGCCCAACCTCGAATTAGCACCCACCTCGAATAAGCGCCCATCCTAAAGGCAGAAAAAGTTAATAAGCGCCCCTCTCTTCCCCTCTCACTCGAACTCAAATAAGCGCCCACCCCCACCCCATCCCCTCCCCCGGCTCCCACCCCCCAAAAAGTTAAGTGCGCGAGATGTAGTATTGATTATTGTTATTCACTGGCTTACAATCTCTAGATTCATTGTTTGCTTCTCGGGCGACCAACTCATTTGCCGACGTTACGATGTCGGACATCGAGGAGGCACCACCAAAATATTGACTTGAGTGACAATGAGATTAAAATTTAAATTGAATACGTACCAATAAGAGACTTCCCCGAAGACGTAGTTTTCTTCAGAGTATTTTACAGAAACCTTGCTTTGTCACATCTTCCGCGTTTTGTTATTACCATTTATTGTTTTGTTGCTACTACAGTAACTTGCTAAAAATGGTGAAAATTTAATAAGCGCCCAGCCTCGAATTAGCGCCCACTCTCAAGCTCCAAAAAATTAATAAGCGCCCGGGGCGGTTAATCGAATAAATACGGTAATTGATCTGAGAGACACTGACAGATGACGATGTTTTGCGCTAACCGAGTTCAATAACTGTTTTATCATTCGATCACTGTGTTTTTAATTATTTGCGAAGCGATCCGTCATTTTCACGCAAAAGCGATCGCAAGAAGGAGAAAAGCGTGGTTTCCTTTACGCATGAGCAGAATATTATATTTGCAGCCAACACAGTTGGACGACATTACGCATGAGCAGACCATTATTTGTAGGCAATCATTCGCAGGTCACGTGGTGGGCTTTCGGCCAATGAAAAGGAAGAAAAATTTGCATCGAATTATAAAACTTGTTGTTGAAAAACCAGTTCCCATGTTCTCAAAACACTCTCTCAAGACATTACAAAACCTTACAACTTGCTTATATCTAAAAGCATTTCGAAATTTCATATGAGTGAAAAGCCAAGACAACCTCTAAAACACAACAGTTAATAATAATTATTATTATACATCAGACTCACTATGAAAAATCTGATTGGTCGAAAGCATTCAATCGATTCACAATAGCTTGTGAACTTGACATGATAAATGCAATATCTGCTGCAGATATTGCATTTATCATGTCAAGTTTAACGTCTGCCTGGTTACCAAGCCCCTTGGAGTGTTCTCCTCAGAAACAGAATGGCTGAACGCTTCGCTTCTGTTTCTGAGAATGAATTATTCTCAATTAATGTTTATAAAGATTTACCGTTAAGGATTTTTCTATTTTAATGTATACTTTATTCAGACAAAGGTTTTATTATTGTATTTTAAAATTTTTAAATGTTCTTGGTTACGCTTATCAGTGTCACTTTCACCTTAGTTTTGAAATAAAGCCATTTTTCAACAGATGAATGTCTTCTTTTGCCTATTGTTTAAAAAAATGTATAATAATACAATTATTGAATTCTGCTTTCCCATGATATCATGAATTATCAAAACCTCGTGTCTGTATTATCTGCCGAAGCCGAACACAGACCTCGGTTTTGATAATTCATGTTATCATGCTCAACCTCATCCAATAATTGTTTAATATTTGTAAACTCTTGGAATAAATTTTCACTTAATAAAAGTTAAACGTCAAAAGGTCCAAAATTGAAGCGCCAACCGTCAGAATTGAAAAAATTAACCGTCAAGGCTACCATCCCATGCATTGAGACCCCAAAAAACAGCAGAAAACTTTCGTATGTTTACCTTTAAAGGCTTTTGAACTTTCGGGTATGGTTTCGATCTAGAGCTAGTCTTTCCATCTGTTATAACAACCAGCACATGGGGAACATTAGGTCTCTGGCCGTGAGCGTCGTTAAACATTTCTTTGCTGGCCTTTTCCAGGGCTTTGTCGGTCCTAGTCCCTCCCGACTGGTACCTTAATTTCAAGATGGCTGCCTTGAGAAGGGTGGAATCTTTGGCCTGAGGGGCGTTAAAGTCCCAGTCCAGATACGCTTCGTGATTGTAATGAATGACAGCAACGTGTGTCATTCGACGCGAAACGTGCATCTTGTCAACCAGCTTGACTAAGAACGCTTTCACGGTCTCGTAACCATCACGTTGAATGCTGCTGGAAGAGTCTATGATGATGCCGACATCAGTCACCTTATCGCAGGCTAAGGAAAAGAAAAAAGAAAAAATAAGCTGCTTTAAACAATTCATCTCTTCCTCCATTATTCGCTTATACTTTACATTGTTGACTAAACATTTCAAACGGCTAGAAAATGTCGGTCAACCAGTTTGAAAGTCTTAGTTTTAAAATAGATTTAAAATTTACCGTTTAATAGATTTCGCGCAATATAACTAAGAAAATTTAACTGCTTAACACGGAATTGGCCGTCAGTACTGATGCATTCGATTCGTTGAAGCACAATTTAACATCTGCTGCTTCGCCAAGTCGGTCACATGTTTTCCCATTGCCTTGTTGTCTGGGTTTGGTACAGGTCCTCTCACGTGATCTTTGCCCTATTCCATATGACTTACTGTATTCACGCCACAGAGACAACAGGGTGTAACCACCGTCAACAATTGGGCAAAGGAAGATCTATCATTTCGCAGAATGGTCCGGTTTAAGATGCTTTATGAAGTTTTTGGCCTTGTAACGTTTTCTTTTAAGCCCTTCTACACTGGGAACTATGATTTGGTGGATTAAATTGACTGCAAAAACCGTGGACGAAGATCCCGCTAGTTGTAAACGTTGGATCTCTAGAAAAGAGATCAAATCAGCCAAAATATAAAGAACCAAGAACGAGAAGTCCAAAGACTACTGCAAAGCTGATTTAAAACAAAGTGTACTGTTTTTTATATCAATATTTCGGCTGGCTATACCAGCCTTTCGTAAGGTTTACAGATGTTACTGAACTTATGTAGCGATCACAATATTATATAGATGGAGAATGTCGCAGTAAAAGGGAGAGGCGGAAATGACGTACAACATAAAAACTGGAAAGGAAAAATACTAAGGATATGGATTACAATAATTCGTCACGGCGGTTTAGGCCATGAGGTTCAAGAGTCATGGCCTTATCTATCAAATGCGACTCCCTGGCCTTACGAACTGAGTCACGTGAAGAATGAATTTTCTCTAGTGGGATTAACTGCATGTCAGTATGAGAATGGTTAGAGTGACAGAGAAAGTGTTCAGAAACAGTAGTGGGTTTAGATTTAATGTTAGTTTTGTCGACTGCACGTCTGTGTTCGTTAAATCTGTCTTTGAGACGTCGCTTAGTTTCACCTATATCCCGGGGGGGGGGGGCACTTAAGGAATTTCTGGGTGGGGATGTGCCGCTGGGACCCTGGAACCCTTGACCTATACCAGAGCTAGTTCAGCTGAATTTTGCTACCCTATACTAGAGTAAACTCCCAAAATCCCCCTATCCTAGAGTAGCTGTTTCCTCAGTCTAGATCAGATGGGCTCCTGTCTAGATAAAATCTTCAACCAACTGATCAGTTTCCTGAAAAATGATACCCTATTCTAGACCCAAACGCTCTGATTTATATACCCTATCCTAGAGTAAACTGCTTGAAAACCATACCCTTCACAGCGGCACATACCCATATAGCCCATATATGGCAGTACCCCCCCCCCCCACCCGGGACCTATATATTGTAAATTCCAACGGTTACATTGAACCATGTAGATCACATTTTTTAGTGTTACAAGTAATGTGTGAAGTGATGGAGCGTGTTTCACCGGTAGCGTAAAAGGTATAACTTGTGAGGCCGTTAGTAATGTATGGACAAGTGACACAATTCTGTCCACAACGGAAGCAGCCTGGCGGAAAATGATTGGTGGAGATAACGGGTAGTTGTGCTTTAACTAAAAGGTCACGAAGATTAGAGCTACGTCTGTAAGCAACAAAAGGCGGTTGCTTAAAGACGTCTTTGCAACGGTTAGAGGAGTGTAAGATGTTAAAATGTTTGCGTAGGATATTAGAAATGCGTGGAAGTGCTGGGTTATGTGCCAACAAATGGTACAACATCGTTAGAAGCTTTGGGTTTAGTCTGTAACGCGTTAGTACGAGAAATATTAGCAGCGCGTAGGAACTGTTTTTCTAGGAAATTATTATTATAACCTCGAGCAAGGAGATATGTTTTAAGTTCATTAATGCAATGTTAAAACTTAGCATCTGTAGAGCAGATACGGCGGAGGCGGAGGGCTAAGCTGAACGGAATGGCTTATGATTTGGTGGCCAGCCATGCGATAGTACAACAACCGGGGTGAACTCACGCCGACATGACATTTTGTGTTGATATCATGTAAACAAATACGGAGCCACGAGAGGGAGCCAGAGTGAATTCGCGCCGGTGTCATGTACAACACCCCCTTACTTTAATGTGCTTTAACGCTGGAAACGTAAATTTGGCGGGTTAACACGATTAAGTCTCGAGCAGTCTCTTATTTTCTTTACAATTAATGTGGTGACACTTATTATGCGCGAGCGGTCTGCGGCCAGATACGGCGAATGTTAAGGGGACCCAACGACAATTTTTGGAAAATATCTGTTCGGAAAACGATTTGAGATCTAGAATTTTCGGGACACTGATGTAACAAGTCAAGAAGATGCTAAAAAAGGAATAAAAAGGGGGCGGTCACCTTGCTTGTTTTGACGTCACAATGCTGACAAATACTGCTATTTAGGACCCTTTGACAAAAACCGCGCGCACCCAAAAGTAGACAAAAAGGAGAGATTTTTTTTGATGATGCATGTGGTATCGCACAGAATTTGACTTAAATGTATTGTTTATCCACTTACGTACCAGAAAAATGCCTTTTAACGCCCTTGTTTTTATTTTACCCTCCAAAGTAGATTTAAATTGGACACACGCTATTCGACCCGTGATAGCTCAATCTGTACAATTTAAAAAAAATTGCCAAACAAATGAGCATAGATTTGTGCCAATTTTTTTCTCATCGAAAGGAAGCACTGTCCTTATTAAAACCACGAAATAAAAAATGGTGGTCACCGTACTCGTTTTTGCGATAGAGCTGCAGAAAGTGCGCACCAAATGCATTTTCTCCGATTTTTGAGAGAGGACTGAGGCGAGATTCAAAATGGCACGTATGTGAAAGGGGAAAGAAAAGAATAAAAAATCTGCTTTTACAGAATTTACATCGAGATATCACAGTTAGGACACAATGTGAGAAAGAAGGCGTTTAGATGAAAATCAAAGTGAGTAAGGTTGGTAAAAGTTTAACATCCACTCGGCGAGGTTCTCTGTGAGGATGTCGAACTCACAACACGCGCACTGCTTACGTTATGCACATTGCCAACACATTGAGTCTCATCTCGGCAAGAAACAACCCCAAGCGAAAATTCCAATAGCGTTTCTCTTCAGTCAACTTCATTTTAATAATGTTACTTCAGACGCTCTTTGTTACGGTGGCCATCTTGTTATGGGCAGTAAGAGATGCGCAGTGCAAAACCAGTGAATCACCTTAAAGCTTCCAAAGTTTATGTTTTAAGTCAGCTTCCCGGTGTTTGCTTTTTTCAAAGATAAACTCGTGGCTCAAAGCTTTCTTTTACAGCCAGAATTATAACTAAATATTCTTTGGAACGTTTTCTTTCTATTTGCGGTGAGAAAATGTCTAAAGGCTTTTTCAAGTTCTGTCATGACCTGATCTCGGTCTACAAACGTGCACCAGGAGCGGCTCCTGACGTGCACAAACTAAATAGCCGCATAAACTAAGCTCGACTTCATTAAATTAGATATGAAAAACAAAAATCAAATACACTAATTACTCAGGCTTACCATTTGAGATGCAGCTCCTGAAAGCTATCAAGGAAGCCATGCCAGTATCGCTTCAGACTTTTCAACATTCTTACGCATCAAGCAAGGTGAAAACCGAAAACGATGCCATCTAAAATCGGATTTCCGACTCTGACAAGCGAACTATTTCTCAACCAAAAACCCAATAAACAAACTAGCCATGAATAACAGAAGACTCCTGATAGCAGCTGAATTTCATTTGGTACATCCAGTGGAGAAAGACAGTTAAAAATATCACAGGTTGACTCAAAACTCTGTCACCTGCAGCTGTCAAAGTAAAAAAGATTCAAGATGTTGCATAAATTTTCCGCATGAACCGACCTGTCAAATTTTGACCAATCAGAGCATAAAAATTGGAAGTAGAGCGTGACAAACGGGTGGCCAAAAAATCGAAAAAATGAAACTTGAGCCTGCGATCATTTGTAAACTAGTAACTTATCAGCGGAAAACTTCAAAAAATACTTGACCTCCATGGGGTCCACACCTGAGCCCGCGATACGGTCAGGTGATGTGATACTGGTCAGCGGATACTCTGTTTTGACAGCTTTCAATTGATCACAACATTGATGTGCAATAAGTGCTCCCAAACTAGCTAGAAAGTATGAGATTGACAATTGGTTTCCCTGTGGTGCGGACGGACGGGCGGTGTATGGTCACGTGATTACCCGAATTTTCTGGGATGGGTGGATTTACTTAGCTGCGGGGCTTCGCGCGCGTGGACCTCCGCTATCATTCCTATTCATTCGTGTAAAAATCTCCTCTCCCCTACACGCTAAGGACAAGGGCCTGATACTCAGGCTAGAGCCAACCTACAATTTTAGTTTCCACAACTGGCCAATAAACATCCAGGAAAGCCGCAACAAAAACTGCGCATCGAGCTAATGCTTGTTTGTCGAATATGCAAATATTTTTAAACGTTAGGTATGGACCTGGAGAATCGGCCCCATTTTATCACCGACTTTGCTGGTTCGCGCTATTAAATTATTACTCCAAAATACTCTGAAAAATCTGACAAGCCTGACTCACGCTTTCCACAAAACGTGTTTTAGCCTTCGTAAAATATAAGAAAGGGGATTTATAGTCCTTTGTATTTCAGGATAATTTAAAATATCTGCTGTTTTTCTGTGGCCAAAACTAAGCAATGTTCGTGGCATTAAAGTACAGGTTCTCTTCTCTGGCTGTTTTAAAGTATATGTGTTGTGGTTCAATTTTATCCTTAATTGGTTTAATTTTTATTTTCTTTTGTCTCATTATCATACATTAACATGCCCCCAAAACTTAAGAGTTAGGGAAATAAGAATTAAACCAGAAATAAAACTGAACCACAACATGCACATCCCGACTATCTAACAGCTAACAGACATTGATCTGGAAGAAGTAGTTGATCTGTTTGCTAAGAAGCATCCAAGGCGGTTTGAAGTTGTTGCACTATTGCCGAAAATCAAACCTATAGTGAATAATACTGATTCACAACTTTCATTCCAATTTGTATTTTTCAATAGTGACATTAACATTGTCATTATATTCTCATGAATAGTAAAATAAAGTAGTTACTCTCTTTGCCAAATCAATTTTGAAGTTAAAAAAGTTGAGAAATATAATCCATGATTTTAAGTGTTACATCGAATTCGGAATCGAAAGGACGTGCTTAAAAGCGTCTATTCGAAAAAAGAAATGCTGAATAGAACTATTTTCATGTCAGGTTAAGGTTTTTGTTATCAGGGCTTTTGTTACAATATCCTGTGCAGTTAAAGCCATTTCCAAAATATCCTGGTTTGCATGTACAATTGTAAGAGCCTTTAGTGTTGTTACAGAAAGCATTCGAGTCGCAGCGATGCTTTCCTGGCTTACACTCGTTTGTGTCTGCAAAACAGTAAGTAGAATATATTGATTTATCTAAATGAATTTGATTTAACAAAATGATTCTTTCATTCTCTTGAAATCTTTCGTAGAAAATCATCTTGATGATTACGGTTTGCTTTAATTGCGTGCCACAATAAGGGAAGTGGCTAAGCTAGACGACACACCACTTCATGGAAAAACTGATGGCTTGTTAATGTTTGTAAATGTGTTTCCTCTTTATACCTACTTTATTAATGCCTGGATGAACGTAAATGTCTATACGCAGTTTTTCTGATAATCCTGGCTTATTAGGCTTAGGTGCATACAAAACATTAAGGGCATCGTCTTATTTTCACACTTCCTTTTTCATTTTCAGACTTAAAACCCATTAGGCCCACGCATACAACAGTTGTGTTTTCTGTAGCTCCACCCTTAGGTGGGTCTCCTTTGATTACACTTGTTTTGACCACTTTCTTGCGGTCCTGTTAGTGTAAATTTCGACACTGGAGCAAAATGGCCTTGAAACAGCGACATAGGGCAGCAGAAATGGCCACAAACGAAACTGAAACTGCGACAGCGACAGAGAATAAAAGCACAAATACAATAGTGAAATCCTGACAGCGACATGGCCTCCTCCTCAATACGAGAAACGACAGTTTTTGAAATTCAGACTCTGGACATACGTAACCCTCCTTAGAGGGCCTATTTCTTATGATCATTAAACTCGTAGGTAACACAATAATATGTGGTAATGTTATGGGCACTCAAAGAAAATATTTTAAAGGGAGATAGAAGATAGCAGAAGTTAGCTTATTTGTATACAGTAAATGACGTGAAGCTCTGCATTTGGAGCCCAGAGATTATATATAGTCCTCGAGAAGCAAACAGGATCGAGGTTTCAGTAGGTTTCATATAGTTTTTGCTAAATGATAAAATTTTTTGATGGTTTTCAAGAATAACGGCCGAGCAAAACATGCATGTTTTTCAATGTCCTATACATGGCTATCAATTGTGCCAAGTTTGCGCATTGCCACTTTGTTACCTTACGACGAACTATTTTAAAACAATTTACCCCTCTATTTAGAATCTAGCTGTTTCCTTGTCGGACGATTGACCAGTGTTTCGCCGAAAAGCGTTAAGCAAACATAATAATATCGAATTGCTAGATGCAAATTCTCTGTATAAAAAGGTCCGTGATGTGTTCAGTAGTTGTTGGGTTGATCCAAGTGTTAGGTATCACTTACCTTAATTTGAGCGTCACATAAAATTTGGCCGGATCCAATGCAAAGTCTTTTCCACATTCCGCGAGGCTAACGGTAAACGCCAAAGTCTCATACCATTACATACTTTTCTTATATTACACGGGATGTAAATTAATCCCTGAGAACTATATATCAACTGCATTGCCAGAGAAAACCAGTGAGCAGATTCGGCTCTTTCCTGGCTTCTAAAAAAAAATTGCCACGTATAAAGTATAGAAAGTTGTGTGATTTCTTTTTCAGCCTGGTCCGTCTTTCACTGTTCTCCTAGACTGTCTATCGTATTTAAGGAACAAGAGCAGTAGTTTCGACCTACCCATTTCGCATTTTACTCCTCTCCATTGCGGACTGCATGAACAAGCAAACGCATCTTTCCCTTCGTCGAACAAACAAGAACCTCCGTTAAGGCATCCAGCCATTAGGCAGCCCTGAGGAAAATGCATGTTCATACGTTATTTCGGTAAGCTAAAATGATATACATCGTTTTCCATCGACTTCCTACAGCTTTATATACCAGAAAGGCGATGTTTTAGCCACTCTTTCTCGGGCAGGGGAGAGCGACGTACTAGCTACAGATTCTTGCGGGTAGCGAGACTGATCCCTCAACATTTTTAACGGCACAAGATGACAAGACAAGACTCGACAAGATGATTTATTAAACTCAGCTCAGTTTTACATGACATAAAGTTAAATTTACATAGGCATCTAAACACAGTACAACTAAGGAATACAAGAAAAAATTGGAACAACAAAATGGAGAGCGAGTTGGGATCATCCAAATAGCAATACCTAATCTAGTGGATGACCCAAAGCAAATCTAATGTATCTGCGTTCCTCTTCCAGTTAACATTTATGGTTGTTTGCACTCTATACTTCTCTTAACTTTATTTTCAAAACATGTAAGTCTCTTGTTAGGGAAGAAAACATTGCCTTCGATAATGATTTTGCTGAACTGAAAAATTTGGGAAAGGAAAACATGACTCGCTCCCATACGAAACATATGACTGAAATCATTATGCGAGTGCTAGCTAGTGCTCTTTTACAACAACTCAACTTTACTGCTTTAACAATTTTTTTATTTTTTAACCTTCGCTTGAACAGTTGTTGCCTTAGCCTGGGTGCAGAAGTCTATTTCTTCTTGCACACAGAAATTAGGCTCGTCTGCAAACGCACGCCTTTGTTGTCTAAGCAATCAAAATTCAAAACTTTTCTTACCTTAAAAAACATTGAAAACGTTGTGCCTGGATTATCAGTGAGCTTGGTGTCATCGTCAGTAGTTGAGAACTTATGCTTGTTCAGTTCACAATTGCCCGAGGACTCTTTGAAGTTAGAAGAGGTACACCAAGAATGTCTTAAACATGCTTGACTGCACGACATTTCATCCGTAGAATCGATTTTCTTGACAACATAGCCATGTAAACGCTTGTTCTCTTTCGTTTTGATGTAGGCAGACCTAGAGTCTTCTTCAGCTGCTAAAACTGCGCCAACGACGAAGCAGAAAATGAGTGAGGAAATCATGTTACTTATCTCTGCAATATTACAGCATTGTTTTCGTGAACAGGGTGTGCCTGCGTAAAGGAAGTTCTCGGGTAAAATTTGTAGATTTCATAAATATATATTATATAATTTTGAATATAGCAAGTTAATTAATACGTTGAGCTCGATTGACACGTGTCGTTTCAGTGATCGACCTGTCCTGCCAATGTAGAGGATAAGAAAATATTAAAAAGCTCGTTGCCGTTGTGGCGAACAATGCTGAAAACGCCTGGGCCGGTTGAGGACATCGGAATTCTCAAAACTTGAATTGTCTCTTGTTGAATGGTGAATATAAATACTTTGCTCTTGAAAAGAAGTGCAGCTTTTCTCTACCGCAGCACTGCGACGCTGAACCGGGCATTTCTGATAAAAGGCTTTCATAACCGTCGCACATCAAAAAGTTCAAAAATTGCGAAATGTTAATTACACAACGGTTCTTACAAACTCGTATTTTAAATCAAGTTACCAGCCAGCGTAGCAGAAGCATAGCCAAGAGGATGCTGCTGTGTAAATTAAAGTTTGCTTAATGTTTAGCCCTAATTTACTAAATAGTTAAAATTTAATGATGTAATTAAAGTTCATAACTGAAGTGTCTGTCCAAGCAAAGGAAATTCAAACAAAAGGTCGAAAGTATGGACAGCTTCAAAATTCTAAAATATGTTTCGATTGATAAGTTGCTGACGTCAACTATGAACATCGGTATATAGTTTTACCTTTATCAGCAGGAATAAAGATATATTGTTTAATAACTTTCAGTCCAAAAAAATAGAATTCTTAACATCAATGAACAAGCGGCACCTGAACGTCCCACATGTTAAACAAACTGGTACTAAAAAATATGCAGAAACTGATGGCGTTATTGTGACAGCAATTATGGCAAGGAGAAAAAACAGAGATGTCTTTAAAATTCATCATAGTTTTAATTTAGCAGTCAGCTCGCCTTTACTGCAAATACTGCCTTGTCTATCGATCGATCAGATCCTTAAAAACGCTGTTTCCTACTAATTTAAAAAGCTTACGAAAATTCAGACAATTCATTCAAACAAAAACAAACCGTTTAAGAAACAGCTGGCCCGTCGATCAATTTTTCATGTTTACTGAGTTTTGTTTCGTATTTTCATGAGGCGAATTCAGAACATTTCATGTCCCCTTCCCCATCCCTAACCCCCAAGTAGACCTAATGTTAAGATTTCCAAAGAGTACTGAGCGTTTCCTTGAAGTTACATTAACTGGGAAAGCACTCTAGCTATTACCCAAGATCATGGTAAACATTTTCTGTTTGTAAGAATATTTGACAAATTAATTAGCTGCGAGTGCATTTGTATCTAAAATCGCCAAGCAATGATTATTAAATTCAACTGAAAGTCGACAGAGAGGATAAGACGTTGTGTCACGTTGCCATGGTAGCAAAATTTCTGGATCTCAACACAACCGTGTTCCTGCAAATATGGTATGAAACAACGAAAAAAATTGACTTGTATGACTTTCCTCTGTATGATTGCACACAGGAACAACACAGCAACAAAATGACCAGATAAGCCATTGTGGGGCACATGTGCTTACAGAGAGCACCTGCAGAGAATGGGGTATTTTAGTTCTGGTCCATTAAAGAAATCATCTTTTACCTTGTTTCTAAAAAAATAGCTCTAAAACCCGGGGTGGGTAGGAACAAGCACTCAACAGTCTTTTCATGATCCCTGAAGCACTCCCATGAAAACGACAAAAATGTGACTGAAATGCATTACCAGAAATTTTGGCACGCGGTTTCAAATTATCAAGATGGCGGCTTAAAGAAAGCCGTACGTTGAAAAAACAAGGACTGAAATGAAACACTATCAAAGGATCTGAATCAATTTAATTTCTTTTTTGAGGTAGTCAATACAAGGGAGAATGAAAAAGGGGAAACTAGAGTCCGGGCTCCTGTTCGAATGACGATTTTAGAGAGAAGAAACAACTTCGATTCATGCGTGACTTGGCAGAGTAAAAATAATTTTCAAAAATTAGGGCCCACAGTACACTTAGCCAGCGACATTCTGTATAATAATAATCATATATGAAGTACCTACCTGTAAAGATGGCGATCAAAACAAAGTGGAGACAGAAACCCTACTTTTCACAAGGAATAATAAGCGCAGTGGTGCGTTTTGTACCGCTTTTATCGCAGAAATGGATGTATTTTTACCTCTTTTATCGCAAATTTTGCGGCCATTTGGGGAATGGATCAAGGCTGATTTATATCACGTTTTAAAGTTTGAACATCGATCGATGATTAGAGAGGTCGGCACTAAGGATTCACATCAACGAAATGTTCTAAAATGTGGAGAGAAGGTAGGCACCTCTAAGCTTTTTTGAAAGAATTAGAGAGCTCAAGGAACTGTAACAGCCGTTCGTAAAATGTGTTGTTTGCGGCCCGTTGGCGAACTTTCGAGAGACCAAAACTACCGTAAATAAAGATATGATACGTACACTTTACATTTAGAGGTCGGCAAATGTCGTGTGTGCTACCTCAGATCTGAAATTTCCACTTCTTCAATTTTCTCCATACATTTCTCTATAACGATCGGCGGCCATTCTTAGAGAGCGGAAGGTCTGGGTCGAGTCTGGGCGTCCGCCATTTTGTCTTAAATTTCTGGTAATGGGCTAGTGTGAAGAATGTCAACAGGAGACTTAACAGCTCTAACTAAAAGTGGAACTCAAGCTTACTTGCTTTTTCTCTTTCTATTTTTGTGTTTTCGTCAGTGGCAATGAAATTATGTAAGTTACGAAGTTATTCTGTTCAGGTTTTCGGGACTGCTGACCCGCGTTATAAAAGGCGGGCAACTTGGAGCGAAACTCAGCACACACGCGCTGCGGCGTTTGAGGTTTGACTGAACGTATAGTTTTCCTCACATGGAAAAATGTCATTTTTGATTTGGAAGAAGCATTTTGTTTCTGGCCTCACGAGTGACAACATCGTTCGCTTCAATGACTGGCTAGCTATATCTCATTTGCGTATGGCCTGAGATTCTCAGGATAGGATATTAGGGTAGGATAGGATAGGATAAGTACTTTATTATCAACACAGCGCCTACAGACACATGTGTTTACAAGGATAACAAAGATTTAGTGCAATAATTACAGTGGTGTACATATGTAGAATTTATACAACTATTAAACAAGGTTATATTTAACGCGTCTATCTCTTTCGCGGAAGCGATCACATACGTATTTAGCCACAATTTTTTGCATTTTCTCTCCTTGCTTCATACTTATCAACGTTGCAAAGGCAGAGCTTGGAGTCATAGAGTCAAGAAAGAGATTAGTTTCCTTTTTTAGCGTATTGAACAGCTCTCTCCTAGGATCCTCCTAGGCTATGCAATTCATCAAAAAATGCTCCTCGTCTTCTAATACAGTTTTACATAATGGACAGATTCTTTGGTCTGGTGGTTGATAGGGTTTAACGTATCGTCCAGTTTCAATTGCTAGTTTGTGGTTGCTTAATCTTAGCTTTGTGATTGCTACTCTTTGATTGATGTTTCTTACATTTGTGAGGTAATTTTCGTAGTCATGGGTAAGTTTAAATTTCCTAAAAGTTCTTTGTTTGTTTTTTTGATGCGGGTCCTTTCGTTCATCATTGTGTATTTCGCTAATCCATGTTTGCCGTTCTAGTCTAAGAGTCTCTGTCGTATATAGCTCATGATTGCGGGAGTGTTCGTTTTCGCTGACCATATGTCGCCCAGACCTGCGAGATTTAATAGCCGTTTTAATTTGCTTGACCAAAGTTCCTTTTTATCTTGACCAATTTGGTCTGTAAATGCAATTCCAGAGAGTTCATTTTGGTGCTCCGGCTCACAAAATTTCCGCCTATATTTTTTGGCTCTGCACTTGGTCTTCGTTCGCATTGGGAAACGGCCTACCTCCGATCTGCATGCATTTGAGCTTTCGAATTTGTTAACTCCCAATAGCCACCTAATGAACTTTGTTTGAACAAACTCAATTGGATCATTTTCTAGCTTTCCGTCGTGATCGACCCCCAGACCTCGCTTCCGTACGTGAGTATTGGGGAAATAACCGTGTCAAAAATTTGAACTTGACCTTTGAAACTTGAAATTAAACTTTGAACTTGAAATTTGAACTTTGAAATTTGAACTTCTGAGAAAATGGAACTGAAGCGGAACGAGATTTCTTCTTATACGTTTCGGGTCACGTTTGTCTCCGATATGTCAACGAAATGCATTGAGCAAGAAGGCCTGGGAAGACGCCGAACCGGGACTAGGCATTGTCGTACCGAGAGCCTCCTGGGGGCCTGAGCA